TATCATATGGATGGTGGTATAGATACATTCTGATACACATCTGACACAGTGGGACTCCTGATCCGTGGGATATTCAGTGCAGCATAGAATGAAAGAGGGGACGTATGAGAGGGCTCAATTTTTACCATCTACATCATGATTCATTTTCCAATGATTAAATGGAGATCAATGATCTCTATTCTAAGTGGACCTCTGATTAGCACCTTCTACATAGCTTTATTTTCTCACTTTTCACTTATAGAATTAGGGAATGGAAAGATAAAGCCTTGATTCAACTTTCCTTTTGAGAATGTAAAAACAGCATAAACAACATGCCTTGTGATGTGACGGGAGGGAAATTATCACCATCCCATAGTCGAAAATAAAAAAGTTTCTCTTCTACCCCATGCATAACTGCCAGGGGACAAAAAATCTGATCCTTTTTGGCATTAGGGAAGACAGTTCAAGTTCACAGCTGAATTAAGATAATTCTTCAGTAAGATGACTAGATCAGAAGCCAACAAATTCAGAGAGTTCTGCTCAAACTGCAAAACATAGAGGGCAAATACTCCAAAACATAGAGGAAAAGTTGCCTAATTTTTTAACATTTTTGCTACTTTTGATGATTTAATTATTTAGTGTCTGGGTCACAATTTGGTTAAAAATTATGCTGTGAATGATGCGTATGTGAGCCATCCCCAAGGGAAAACAAAAAGGCATTTTCACACACAACCGCTGTGTCTATATATTGCACACAACTCCTTGACTCTCTACACCTGCTGATATCCTCCTCCTTGGGTCCACTGTCTCCAGCCTCAAGTAACCTTCAGGCTGTATTTCTGAGTACACAGTAATCTTGTCGAGAAGACTGTAAAGCTAAAGAACAAGACTCCTTATTGCTTTATTATGTCCCATTTCTTACCTTTCTTACAATATAAACAATTCTCTCTCCCTACCTGAAGGGCTCTTCTGATTCCAAGCATCCTCTTGTTGTAAGAATTCTGGATTCAGTCCGAGGAAGTCCAGCTCCAAATGTTCCAGTTAAGTTATATAAAGCATCTGCAGATGGATCTTGGGAACTGTTAAATTCACAGTAAGTCATACCGAAGTATGAAGTGAGAGAAGGGAAAGGCAATGGGAAAGACAAGAGTTTCTAACAAACTTTTAATCAGGGAGAAGACACACTATTGAATTAATTACATTTTATTTGCTGCAGGTTGTCTTTTAACAGTACAGTTTCAACTACCAAAACAGTTTTATAATGTAATTTTATTACAAAGCCTCGTATTTCTTTTTAATACCCACCAATGAAGTGCTGCATTATTACCAGAGGAGTCAAACAGACTCTTTTTGTTTGAGACTAAGACTGTGATTGAGAATTCTACCTTTGTTATTTCTCTTCTTTTCAGATGGGCTTTCATTTGCTACAACAGTACAGCATTAGAAAGAAAACATGCAATTTTTTTAAACGTATACCACATAATAATTGATAGCCTCCTTTATTTCAAGGAAAAGTAATCGGCCAACATGAGAAAATCCAAGATATTTGCAAAGTCCCACCTGAGACTTTCTTCCCAGGACTCTGTTAATGGTACATTCTACCTATAAAAAGGTGACACAGGGCTCATGCGTGCAAAAGCCAACATACTGCAGGAAGTATACCAGGCACAGATGCATTTGTAGACAGCTCACAAGAAATTGTACATATGTGACTCTGGTGTAATAGAGCAGTGGGCTGGAAGAAGCAACATGGCTCTCATATGTGCCCTTAACAAACATAGCTACAGTGAAGGTCATGCATATTTGCACAAGTAGGGGAAAAAGAACTTTATCTATTCACGTTGTCCTTGTTAAATAATTTGCCTTTCACAAATAAAGTAGGTTCAAACATATTCTGTCACTGGAAATGTATGTAATTTTCCATTAAGATGTTCATCTTAGTTACTTTCAAGTCTGAGCTCAGCTGCGTAATTTGAAGATACAGAGCTGAGCAGCTAGATGTTAATCAGAGCCTTAAAACACGCTGTTGAAACAAAGGTGTATGGAAAGCTGCAGTAGTACTAAGTCAATTTCTCCAGTCCTGACTGTCTATAAATAATGGAATGTTAGGAAGGGATTCAAAAATAACTATTCTCAACTAAATACATGTTGGGTTTTACCTGAGAAAGCTTATTAAACACTTATCTAAAAGTAATCAAGCTATGACAAGGACAAAAAAAAAAAATCTGTGAACTGACTAAGGAGCATCTCTCAAGAAGCAAATAACTTCATATCTATAAGCTACACAGAAATACAAAATCTAAGTAACAGTGGACCATGGCACAAATAACATTCTATTCTTTTTTCTGCATGGAATGAAAAAAAAGATTTGGCAGCTGGAACATGATACAGTGGTCTGTGACTACTCAAAGCAGGCACTTACCAGAACTTATTTGTGGATAACCTACTCAGTGAAAAACGTAGTTTCATAAAACTTATTTCACAGAAATAGATTTCAACCAAGAGGTATGTTTGAGAGACAGCATTCAATATTGTTTCTGGCATCCCAGTTTGGCTGGTGTTCCAAGGTGTACAGTTTCAAGCCAGCTCTATACTCCAGGGTAACACCAATAGCACCTTTAATTCAAATATCATCTGTTGTATGAGGATAGAAAACAGCTGATCAGCAAAAACAACAAAGAATTCTGAAATACCACACTGTTGGCTGACCTACAATCATTTCCAATAGTAGATTTCATGTTTAAAATTGGTGATTAATTAATACTTATATTGATAAAACAACTCAACATATTTAAATAAGAGAAACAACTATGGAAAAATCAGGAGTTGACCCTACTCACATAGCTAAGTGCATCACAGAGCTTTTGCATTGCTTACAGCAATGTTTCCCTGTGACTTCATTTAATCAACTCCAACACACTGCCAAGAGCCTATGAACAATTATACCAACATTTGGCTCATCTCAAGGCCACGCAGTTGTGACATGGCAGGCAGCCACAAGCTGTTTTGATTGTGGAAGCAAGAAATGTCACGATAAGATCTGTAAGACATCCATAATACAGATGGACAGAAGTCATTACAGATCAAAGGAAGTACTCACAACATTACTTAAGCTACGCAACATCACTTAAGTGCAATTGCTAAAAAGCTGAATTTTTATTGGGTTTTGATTGAAATATTAAAGTGCATTCTTCTGCCATCACACAGACAAACCAATGAAAACGGAGTGCTTCAAGAGCTTACAACTAAAGAACAATTTGTAACAGGGATATATAAGATTGAGCTTGATACAGCCTCTTACTGGAAGAAACTAGGTTTGAATCCCTTCCATCTGCATGCTGATGTAAGTACTTATTTTATTCTGTATGTCAGTTGCAAAGAATAAAGATGCATTATACATCTAGGATTCAATTAATAATTACACATGTTGAACCTTTTGCTTTAAAATGCTTTAGCATTAACATTTAAAATTTGCAGTCTCAAAACATTCTGGTAACTTGTTCATGACAGAACATAGTTACCAGCTCCCCCACTACTCTCAATGAGCTCTTAGATGCATTACTTACGAAGAGGTTTTCCATTCTTCTGCTTCTGCTGAAGCCTATGACTTTTTCTGACAGAAAAACTAGCTAGGTAAAAGTTGTCCAAATCAGGTATCAACCAATTCCACTGTTTGGGACTCCTGGGAGACTGTCCTCTTCCCCTTGATAGTATCAGCTCCTTCACATGTTGCTACACTGCAATGACCACAGCAGATCTGTACTATGACAGATCAGTAAGCACCAATAGCTGTATGGTTTGCAATTGCTGCTCAAACATCTACTCCACAACTCTTTGGAGAAAAGGTAGCAACCACCCAGATCAAGCTTTGTTTTGGCTTCCCTAAAATGAGTAGATGACAGTGAATGTTAATACTGGGCAATCTTTCTTTCTGCGATAACAGAAATGAAAGAGATGTAAGATTTATAACATGCAAGTTATGATTATATATCATAACGTTAATTTCCAGTCTGGAATATAGATATACATTTAATAGAGAGTGAAAGAGCTTCCTTTCTTAAGAATAAGCCTTTGTAGGGATCGCATTTTCTTCAGTTCACTTTCAAATATGTATGAATTTTTATTATAAACTGTTTCAATTTTCACAAGCATTTTTTTTCAGTTAATGATGAAAGGAACAAAAGCATCACAGTGTTAATGAACTGTTCTAAATGTTTACATTCTCTAACTCCTATCTTCTCCCAGCACAAAATAGTCAACTAGTCTAAAAGGAGGAATTGAAGAAAAGGAGATGAGCAGGTGAAGGAGATGTTAAAGGGGCTGTTGTAAATAACTCTCCTACACAAGGTCGTGGCCAAAGGACTAATGCAGTCCTGAAACTACTAGAAACTCAAGTAGGATTGCTTTGCTTCATATTTTTGACTGAATATATTTGCTGTAATACTGTTTAATTTTGTTTCTCAATATTTAGGACTTTGTAAGAACAAAACTGTTCAGATACTTGAAAATATACTTTAAATTTTAAAAAATATACTATACAAAATATACTTTAAACTTTAAGAAAGCAACCAAAAAAAGAGAGGTAAAATGTTCAACCTAGCTCTTAAAGGAAAAAAAATCTTGTCATTTACCAGTATCAACAAAGAAAACTCAATTTAGATCATAAATGTTTAATAATTATAAAGAATATTCTTTAAGTTACATTTATGCTTTTAACAAAAGTTTCTCAAACAGTGGAAACGTGTGACGAATACTGACCACATTACAAGAAGAGAAGATATTTCCAAAGTCTTGCGGAAGCTCACAGTAGACAGACAACCACAATGGTTTCACCTACGTCTAGGCTTGTGTCTAGAGATCACTTCTCATTTGTCCTGCATTTGTTTCTTTTTCTAGGTGGTATTCACAGCTAACGACGTTGGTTTTCGACATTACTTCATCGCTACTGTCCTCAGTCCCTTTTCTTACTCAACTACAGCAGTAGTCAGTGAGCCGGTGGAATAGAAACTCGACATTAAGCATAAGGCTTTAGATGTGTAAATTAAAGTTTCCATAAACTCTACAAATAGTTTCTGACTTCGGTAACGGTTTTAGAATTTACATAGCACTTCCCAGAGTAAATCACTAACAGCAAATGTCAAGTTGTTTATTCCTTTTGTTAACTTTAGGAAGATGTATTGACTTTGCTTTCAATCACTCTTGTGAATAAAAGCATTCAGAGAAACACATTAAGTTTATAAAAGAATGTACTGACCAAAGTCTTCTGTGAAGTTAATAAGCTACATTCCTCAGAAAGAAAGTGAACAAAATAAACCTGAAAGGTAAGTGAGCACATGGGAAACGTAAACCACTACGTGCCATCATCTATATCTTATTATTAAAGCCCACTGTGGATGAAATCACATGGGGCCACACATAGAAGTAGCTTTTGAGTGACAACAGGGTAAATAAGAGTATGCAAAGATTCTACACAAACTCAAAAAGCCTCCTTTCCCACTCCTAAATATAGCTGATAACACTTTCAAGAGAATTCTTATCTACTATTGCAGAACATTAAAATCATTAAACACACTTGAAGTTATTTGTGGATTCTCAAAAGATCCATAGAGTTCTGCAAATACCTTTGGCTTCAGTTTAAGTACTCCAAAAATTACATACTTCTAGTATTCAGACATTAATAATAACTCTAAGATGAAAGGAAAAGGTACAAAGGACAACTGCTTGTTCCTGAGAAAGTCAGCCAAGAGATAGGATTCATTCATGTTTTTCACACTATTGTAAATCATGTACAAGGAAAATTACTCTTAAAGAGCAGAGAAGAGCTATTAGGAGAATTAACAAAAGTCACCCTACCACAGCCTAGTCTGATTCATTGGCTGCCCGATTTCCCCTTCCTCTTCCTGTTATTTCAAGAAGTTATGCACTAGAAAAAAATCAGCACTTTATCATCAAAACACCTCTCCAGAAAGCCTAAGAATAACGAAACCAACACACTCTTTAGAATGTTATATTTCATAAAAGACAATGATAAAAAAGTACAAACATTCTCATGAACAACAGAAAAAAAAAAACCAACAAGATGATAGTACACAGGAAATTCCCAGCATATGTTTCAGTGCATTTTTCATTAAGCCTATCTTACATACCTCTACAAATAAAATAATCTTAAGTACACTTCCTCTTGCTGATAAGCAGTGGGTAGTCATAATATTTTAAATTAACTGGCTCATTAGCAATCCACTTCAACACAGTCATTAGTAAACATAATAGAAAAATAGACTGGCAAGATCTGAAAAAAAAAAAAAAAAGGAAATTTTGTACATTTTTCAATATAGCCTCTATTTTGAAATGGATTTTATATTTTATATTCTCCTATTTAGTTTTATATTGTGGAAAATGCACTGAAGAGCATCTGAGTATATGAAGCAGATTCAACCTTTAATATTTCCATAAAATCTTTATTCTCAACTGCAAGACCTTCAGAACCTTGTAAAAATAATTTCTTTCTCCCCCCTCCAAATTAACTCCTTGAAGATGCTCTTTATTTGCCTCATCAGCAATGTGCTTGGCCTCCCCCCATGTTTTACAAGAACTATGAAAAATATCAAAAGGAACGTACAGAATTCTTAGTTCTGCACCACATTTATTTTGTTTGAAGGCACTGTCTAGGTTAAAATTAAGTACAGAATAGTACTGAGCTCAAGCAGATGGTATACAAACATTATTTTGATGTAATTTAAGATGGCACCTTTGAAAACTTCTCAACAAAGTGATCGAAGTTATTTAGAGAGGAGTGTTAGTTAACGTTTCATCAAGTAACATCCATCACTTTGGGGCACCAAAATGCAAACTTTTCAAGAACTCTGCTATATGTCATAATCCACTCACATCCCGGTTTAAAATTATATTTTTCCTAAGACCAGACATGATTAATCACTTACAGCTGTGAAGTTATGTTAGTTCAGCCACAGCAAATGTGTAACATACTATGTATATATGTAACCATGCATATATATATATATGCACTTGAATGGTTAAAAATCGCACATTTCACAGAATGCCTATCGAACGGGCACAAAAGCATGGTTCAGAAAACAGTACAGACCTACAATACCAAAGATGTTTGGTAATCATACGTGTTGAATCATAGGTGAACTTTGTACTGAAAACCAGAAATCACTTCAAAATTACGACAATTTAAGGTTTATTCAACAGTTCTTAAAGAATTCTATTAGTCCGTTACGAAATAAGACCAACTTTATTTTGAAGATGCTGTTGATCATGTTTTTTACATAAATATGTTGATATATTAATTACCTCCCTTTATCCATGTGCTTCAGAATATCCTATACACTCAGTTATAAAAATATATCAGGAGGTGATCTAACTTTTGAAAAGATGTTCTGTTCACTTTGTACTTTTCATTATCTTGGACCACATCATTGCTAATGCATATTAGATAAACTGGTAGATTTCAGGGTAATTCCCATAAGGTTTATCCCTTATAATTGTTCTCAAGTACTACAATTAAATCACTACATTTCTACAAAACATTCGGGATGTCTAAGCAAAATCCTAACTTTACCTAAGAATGACTAAGAGTAAGATTTACTGCTGGGATGTCAAGGAAAATAAAAAGTGTTTATGGCAAACAAAATATACATAGCACCACACTATTTGTGGCAGCAATTCAGGAAACCAACACATAGTAATGAGTTAGTATTTTTTGTCTATACTCTTACAGAACGCTCTATGGATAAACAATCCTATACTGCTTTCCATTCTTTACAGGAGGAGAAGTCAGTCTTTGGTTCCTAAAAGAATTGAATAACTGCGACAGACAAAACAGTTCAGGAGAGCTTAGACTATATTTGCATTAACATAGAAAATAAATGATTCAGTCCTTTTCCTTACTGCTAAAAGAAGAATGTAAAAAAAAAAAAAAAAAAAAGGAAAAAATTCTTAGCATTGAGTTACTTATAAGTAGCTTAACATTACAAACAAACAGATAATAGGAAAATAATGTTTTTCATTCTAAGCCAAGGAGAGAGGCTAGTTACTCATACATTTTACACCACAAAAATAGAGAAACAGACAGGACCAATTCTTAGTGGAACTGTGCAACCTCAATCTCATCTGAAGTCATAGACTTGAGGATACTCAGTGCATCATAAAAGCATTCAGCACTGTACTAGAATAGGCCCTTCAATAGCTATATTGATTAATATATTATAGGTGGAAATTTAAAAAGCACTTAGCTTAATTTCAGTTGCACTTATGCAGTTGTAAGTGGAACAGTTTGACCCACACCATGTTCCTGAAAATCCCACACTGCAAGCATTAGAACTATGTTTTCTTATTTTCTTTAAAATCTAACTTTAATATTCTTCCAATGAAGACACATTTTTGGCTCTTCTGATTTTGGAGGAATAAAAGTGCTTTTCAATAGTATTAAAAAAAAAAAAGACAATACCAAAATACTGTATGCACCCAGACACATTGTTTTAGCATTAAAATCCCTGACATTGACACTAGTGGCACACGTGGAAACATTTAAGAGTTCCTGTAGATCATAGAATGTAACAACTGCAAGATTTTCCATAATACGCATGCAATAGGCATATAAATATGATTTAGATGGCAGGCAGGGTATAATTTTGCTGGCAATAAATAAAATTAATAGCTTTCTTTTGAGAAAGTTCATATACGAAATTGATTCTTCTATATAGATATGCAGGAGGCCTACAGCTCAAAACTAGTATAACAGTTTACAGTCATAGCTGGCCAACAATTAATATTTCCTTCATTTCACATAAGGTATAACCTTTTTTAAGGATACTTACATTTCACACTTGTTGTTTCATGCTAATAAAAACATTCCTATAGAATTCAAACAAGAACACACTCAAATACATACTGGAGCATAAAGTATTGAGCAATTTAAAAGCAACGTACACACATTAATTTACATCACATATTTACAAAACACATTTTAAAAAGGAACAAAAGCATTCATTTAAATACAGGAGGGCAGAGTGGGAGCAATTTAGTATAAAAGAAGTCCTGGAAGAAGAATGTCTCTACTTCCAGTGAAACTAGCAAGTCTGTTTTCTGCAGTTTATTTAGCTGAGTGGTTAAGATAGAGAATATGGAGAACGAAGGCTTGAACAGTAGTCTCATGCTGTAAACATCTGAGTGGTAGCTGCTGGCTTTTCTTTCTGAACAGAATGCATGGCGAATACAATCACTTTACTTCTCATCCCAAATATGCATCATCAAAAGGACAAAACCCCCTAATTCTAAGATGTGTTTTTTGTTTTACAGTGTCTTCAGTGTCTATTAATACCTTCCAGTGCATTAAAAGTTTACTCCACTAGGATAGCTTGCCACACCATTTCCATCAATAGTCTCTAATAGGAGCAAGTTCTGGCATAAGATTAACAGTTACATTTTTATACAATCTACTGACAAGTATTTTAGGAGTGTATACTAAATTGTTCAACCCATCAATATACTGACGTTCTCTGGAATACCTCAGAAGTTTATATCTGTAGAGAGAGTCGGAAGAAGAGAACATGAGAAAGATTTGCAGGAAACCATTCAATTTATGTTAGGCATGATACAGTAACAGTCACATCAGTATGGAAGACTACCACCTTTAACTCTGAAACTATCTTTCAGTTTTTTAAAATCACTGATTTACCTAAAGTTCAAAAGCTGCCACTTGGGCTTCCCCCCCCCCCAAACACTTTGACTTCGTTTATGCATACAAGCTGATCTCGAGACCATATAACAAGATCAGAGGTGGATGTTGGTGGTATGGTAGCAGAGGTTGAACCTTCCATGCCAATACATTTTATTGCCATGTGGCAATGGTAGAGGAAGGGCAGACCAACAAAATGGTATCTGACATGGAAGTGTGCATGGAATTGAATTCAACCATGCAGAAAGATTGACGCTCCTTGACATTCATTCATGTTTTCTGAACACTTCCAGTGACCAAACAGTGGATGTGAGCACAGTTAGGTTGGTGCACTTCAGCACTGCCAGCAGTGACAGACACAAGCCATGTTTCAAATGGTTGAGGAGATTTTTATGAGTGTGGTACACGGGGCTCTTGTTCATTGCTGGCAAAAATGCATAGTTAATGGCAGCAACTATGTTGGAAAATAGTGGTTATTAGCTGAGAATCTGCTCTATCACAGTGCTATTGTGCTCTTTGTATCTGTTGTAGTTTTTATGGAAATTGTGGCTTTGCTTTTGGGGCAATCCATGTACTTTTTGTAATTCCAAACTAAATTTCTTTTTAAAGAGACATTCAGTTTCTTCACTATTCTGTGCTAGATAACTCACTGTGGAGATATGATCTAGATGCCTTCACTGTGCATCAGCATACATTTAAGATGTCTGAATTTCTTTACATTTCATACTTTAGATTCCTGCATTCGCAAACATCTAAATTGCAGATTAAAAAGCATTTTTTCCTCATTGGTTACTGACATGTACATTTTAGCATATATTTTTATAGCACGTATTTACTCATATCTACTGTATATGACCATTTTCAGCTTTATTCATTACTTTTAATGAATGATGCTCCCAAAAAAGGAAAAAAAAAAAAAAAAAAAAAGACATCCACTGATAGCAAAACTGAGCAGGATTTCTAGTTATTTGCAAACATACCAGAAACCCTATATTTTGTGCTTCACGTTACAACTTGAAGATGCAGCTTATGTGCTACATTCTGGTTGCTATTCTAGTCTAGGGTAGCCAGAGTGTTCTGCATGAGAAAGGAACCACAAAACAGAAAGCTGAAGTCCACACGACCAGGAAACAAGACGACCTTCATCTCAGAATACAATGATATATAATAGAAGAAAACAACCCTGAAGTCTGTTTTCACACAAATCATCATCCCCAGCTGTTCTGCTTCCTTATGCAGAATATCTAAATCAGCAAAGTAGTAAAGCTCTTCCAACACTAGTGTCCAAACTATAAAGGAACTATGATTTTCTGCATCAAAGATAATAACATCTCCTGACACACAAACTTAGTTTAAAAAAAAAAAAAAAATACCTGAACAAAACACATACATTTAAAAGACATGGAATTCAGCACTGAAGAGGGAGCAACACTTACAAGCACTGACTGCTTATTTGTGCATGAAGAAGATATATGTAAGAAAATCTTTACATCATTAGCTGCAGTGTTTGATTAGTTTTTAGTTTTTCTTACCTTCCTAAAAACTGGACTTCACCTCTGTGATGATGAGGAATGGATTTGTATTTCCCTAAATCTCCCTCTGGTCTTGTTACATTGTATCCAGCATAGTGAACCCTAAAGTGCAATAAACAAAATATCAAAAATACCTTTGTTTTTTTAAGTTACAGCAAAAGTGAAAACTGTGCATTAACCATTTTAAAGCTCAGTCTTCGCATTCACTGACATTCTCTCCCTTAAGAAAATCCCTTCTGTCTTAAATAATAATGCTGTCAAAAACTAATTAAGTAGGGAACATTAATCATTGTATGTTTAAGGCACAACAGGATGAAAAATATGAGAATAGCAGGGAAAGGAGAAAAACAAATTCTTCTTTTAAAATACCCCCCTCTGTATAAGAACTCATGTTTTAAGAAGTCCACTGGAATTTACAGTTGTTTACTGTGAGCAGTTAGTAACATGGCAAACGCTGCTGTCCATTATCCAATTTGTGACCATCTGTAGGGCCAAAATTACCACTCACAGTTCTTAAGATATTAAATTTAGCTGAAATTCATCCTTTCTCTACAGCCTGTAACATGTTATTCTGTAATGCTAGCAGTAGAGACATATTAAAAGTAAAAAGCTACACACAAAGGACTAGGAGGAATGAGACTAATATACGTAATACTATTATCTGTTGTTATATCTATTGTGTGTTAAAAGATCTCTCTCTTAAAAGTCTGTTATATACACAAACCAATAAGGCCAAGAAAAAAACAAAAAAGAAAAAAAAAAAAAAAAAGAATGTCATACTCATTCTTTTTATTCCTTAAAACAACAGAATTTATCAATCTAAAACAAATTTTGATTGTTCACAGACATTGGAGACTGTCGAACAATCAAAAAGATACAGTAAGTATTGAACGTTCACCTGTTCCAAAGATCATCATCTTCTCCACCCCATCCCCAGAAGGCATTTGGAAATCCATTAATCTTCTTGAATTGTTCCACTGTCAGGCCACTTACACCACCAAAGAACTCATTGTACGGAAGTCTGAAAAAGACAAACAAATTTCATATTCTTATCTGGACTTAGGTAAATAGTCCTCTTATTGAGAAATACTCCTCAATAAAACACAAAGAATCCATAACTGAGGACATGTACAGAAGCAGAATGCATCTGCTAAGATAAACTGACTCACAGATCACTGGCATTAATACACATTGAAGTCACATAAAATGTTTACAGCAGCATTAGATTTGCATCAGATTTCTGCCCAGGGAGGTATCGACCCTGGGGGTGTTCAAGGAAAGGCTGGATGTTGTGTTGGGGGACATGGTTTAGTGGGAGCTATTGGAATAGGTGAACGGTTGGACTGGATGATCTTTTAGGTCTTTTCCACCCTTGGTGAATCTGTGATTCTATGATTCTATTCTATGCATGAAAGCTACCCTCACACTTAAATTTATGTCTCAAATCTGTAGCTATAGCTCAAATTTGTAACATAAGTCTATCATATATTTCAGATGGCTGATTTAGATCCAAAGCTGAAAGTATGAAATGAAACCTTCCAATTATCTTTCAAACTACTCAACCAAGAAGAAAAAAAACACTTATTTAAAAAAAGCAATGGAAAAACAATTATAATAAATCAGAAATCAGTAAAGCATCAATTCAGTAATTTTAATTCTCAGCTGTATTCTATGGAATGGTTAAAAGTTGAAAAGGATCAGTTTAATAGTATATATTCAACTATAGTAAAATACTTATCTACTTAATAATGAAAAATTTAGATTTCCAGGTTTTAGAAAGTAAATTTTTTTAAATCAAAGGTATATATAGATGTACAGGTATGTATTTTTTTTTTTTTTTTACAGTAAGCATACACTAAGCACTAGCTCATAATTATTAAGTAATACGCAGCTGACCAACAAAAGCAGCCAATATTCCTATATAATGCAATAGATATACACCAGGAGACTTGTGCAACGGGATTTCCAGTCCTCAAAATATTTCCTCACTATTAAAAAAAATAATAATAATAATCAAGAATCAATATTAACTTGCATGATTTATAGACACATTCTTCACTCAGTACCTGCTACAGTGAAGTCTGTTTTAATGAAACAGAAAATCTGAAACAATGTTCATCCATTGGATTTACTTTGAAAGAATGATATACGCTTCAAGAATGTTTCTTAAAGACCCAGAAACATGGATAAAGCTAATTACTTACATGTACATGTATTTATCCAGCTTTGCTGCAAAATGACGTGGCATTTCTCCACATCCATAATAATTGCGGTCATTTTCAGGTAAGTGATCCACATCATGAAATATTATGCAGTCCCAGACAACATCCTTCATAGCCTCCTTGAAGCCAACGTTAAAGAGCATTGCACGATTAAAAGGTTGTGTACCTGTCTTCAAACAGCAAGCAAGGAAGAAAGAGACATACTTTCAACACCAGAGAAACACACTATATTCCACACAAAAAGAAAAAACAAGTATTCACTTGTTGATGCCTGTTATTTCTGTAGTTAAACAGAGCAATGGCTCTGGTTAACATTATCAACTGTACTTTGTGGTTTAGCAGTCTGAAACAGCTTTCCATCTTGCACAAAACTTAACAGCACTAGCAACTTACAGCATTTGTCAGTATAGCACGATGTTATCAGTTACCTGAAGTATGTGAAGCTTTTGTTATTATGTATGTAATTATAATTAATCATATTAATTATAATTATCACCTTAGAACTTAATTCCAGTTTCTGAGAAATTTTAATGAAATTAGATTCAAGTTCTTTTAATTTCAAAATTTAAATCTTCGTATTTCTATTTTGAACAAATGAGACAATATAACTAATAAGACTGATTCATAAAGCAAATGCATTCCACATGATTTAATGACAATTGTTGATCTTTTCCTTTGCTACTTTTCCAATTGCCACCTGAAAATGCCACATAAGGTAAGCCATGAGAAACCCAGTAATTTCTTTAGAGATCTACTTATCTATTAAAGCCAACGACAGCACAGATTCTTCCATTAATCTCAACTACTTTGTTCCTTCACTGTGACTTGCAGACACTCTGTTGGCTGATTGTTTTTTTCCCCTCTATGTCCATTCCTCACTGCTTCTGAAGAGTCTCAGTCTCTAGCTAGTTAGTAATGCTGTACTATCAACACTGCCATTATATTTCACTTCTATTAACCAGATAGCATACACATTAAAGCTAGTGGCTTTGAATGGATTTCATCAAGTACATATTGTAAAATGGCCTTCTCTAAATGATCATTTCCAAACCTCTCCCCATAAAACAAATGTGGGTGTTGTTTTTTTGTTGTTGTTTGTTGTTTGGTTTTTTAAGCTTGAAAACTTAAAATGACAATAGATTCCAAGAAGATGGGTTATATTATCTCTACAAAATACTAGCCTGTACTTGGGGAAAAAAAAAGCAACACAGGCTAATCCTTAGGACGAAGCTGAACATTGCTTTTTCACTCAAAGAATTAGAACATAGAATCATAGAATCCTTAGAACTAGAAGGGACCTGTAAAGGTCATCTAGTCCAACTCCTCAGCAATGAACAGGGACACCCACAGGTTGCCCAGAGCAAGCATAACATCAAGCGTGACAATTTTTAAATTTCTGATTCATCTAAATCTTGGTAAAAAAAAGTCAGATCTCCTTTAGGAAGGAATCCTAAGGATTCATTTTTCAAGCCAATGTTGTTACCTGTTCAACAACATAGAAGGCGAATTCCAGCCGCTGCTTCTGCAACATCGGTATCAGGTGCCGGAAGAAAATGGGAAGATGCTCGTGACGATTACGGAAAGGAATGATGATCGCCACCTTCAAACATTATTATGTAAAATTATTTTGTTAATATTTCTTAATTATGCTTTATTTAATACAGATTAACTGTTCTACCATTGTACATAAAAAATTAGCTCAGTGTTCTAAAATATGTCATTTCCATTAAGAAAGCAAGTTCGAATTTTGATCAAGCAGCTGAAGTGAGAAGAAAGTATCTTTAAGTAAAAGTTGAATGTAATTTTCATTTTATGATAATTTGCTTCTAGTTACACTTCAAGCAACATACACATAGGACAAGTTTATGGCTACATAACAAAGTGTTTGATTACAGCTCATGACAATCCATTTCATGTTTTTCAACAAGCTTTAGTCTCTGAGCACAATACACACACTTTAATTTATATATAATAAAAACCATACCAATAGAAGACTGAGTACTTGCAATTGAATTCAAACAAGAAAAAAAAAAAAAAGCAAAGAAACACCTCACCTTCCATCGTGGCTTACAGTCTTTGGGCTTCCAGTGTCCTCCTGGCTTGATGTCTAAGTCTTTTGAAAATAGTTGCTGAATTTCATCAAAACTAATTTCACTCATATTTACATCAATAAGGCCTCCTATATAGAAGAAAAATATTTATTAATTTCAATTATGATGGCAGGTCTAACTCTACAAAGCATACAACAGGCAACTAACAGATTCCTTGAAAGTTTCCTTAGAAATACTTATAATGCTTATATGTATTTTTATATCAACATAAACATCACTCTGTTTCTCTGATTCTTTATGTTTGATGCTGTTGGAACTTTTTATTACATCCCCAAAGTAGGAAAACTAAAATATTTAGTATTAATTTTTTTTTTTTATTAAAATAATTACATTACACTTTTAAGTACAATCCAATTGACTACATAAGATTAAGAACAGTTTTAAACTTACTCATGTAAGGCAGTTTCTCTGGACAAGCCTGGTAAGGAGAGTAAGTGAAGTTTTCTGGAAGATACATTGTTGTTTGAGCAACACAGTCACTAGAATTGTTTCCTTCGGGATAATCTTAAAAAGAGGGAACGACCGGTGAAAAAAATCTAAGTAATTCAATGATTTTGTATCACACAGTTGACACCACTGACTTTGCAAATACAAAATTCCTTACAGCGTGATGAAAAACCATTCTATCACAATGCCAGTAATTCACTTGCAATCTCTGTGTTACAGCTATGACATTTTCACTGTTAAAATGAACTGATAAACATTAATTCTTTGGCCTTCTCCACGGTCACTGAAAAACTAGATATGCTTCTAGGTTTTAATAGTCAAGCTATGACATCAAGGTTTGTTTGTGTAGGTCTCCCCCTACTCACCCCCAAAAAATCTTATAGAAATGAAATTAAATAAGAAATTTTCTTACCTGTTCCATTCAGTGTTGTATTTTTGTTCGTATACAATCTGATCATGTGTCCTATTGTTTTTACATTTTCCCTCAGCATTATACCACGAGCTTGCACCATGAAGAGATATGTATTTGCTGAGAAAACAAAAAGCAATTTTGATTTCAATTAAAATAAAGTTATTTCAAAACTTTTTTAACATCCACTTACAGTGTGCTCAACTGTTTGCTACTAGGTCTGAATTCATAGCTAGTGAATATTAATACTCCAGAATGAAGATCCTCAAAGAGTAAAATTTAACAGCAGTAAAACAAGAACAAAATAAATTCAGTGACAGGCCTATTTATAAGATAAAATTATAGAAAGTCAATGTGTTTCATATGACACTTTCACTTTAGCTTACAAAAAGCAAATGACAGTGCAGGGAACTAATTGAATTTAACTTAAGTTTTCATGTGCAGATGCATCCATCCATCTCAAATATCCAGGATACACATTAATACATACATCAGAAAAACATAGGACAAAAAAGTCTGTAAATTCTTCAGTCCCACAGAACTATCTCCCTTTTTAACCATTAGTTAACACAGCTGTCAAGTAAAGTGTACTGCTACTCATTCACTCCTAACTGTTGTTTCATTATGCAACCGTTATAAATCACTGATCACTGCCAATCATAAAATATTATATCTAATTATCAAGCGTTAAAGTATCCATTTTAGGCATTAAGCATGACTAAATCAGCATTCAAAGCGACTATGACACTCACTCATAGCAACAACAGGAAATATTTGTCTCAGCTTTGCATTCAAAGTCCCAAACCTGACCTCAATAAAATTGTCAGTCCTAAACAGAAAGCAAGTCAGTTGGAAAAGGGGCTGCATTTATATATGAGTAAGCAAATGCGTATCCAGGACTCAAAGAGCTCAAAAACCAATGTAAAAAATCATTTTGCAGAAAGACTTTTAATCATCGGAGCAACAAGGACCATATGATCATCCCTCAACGATTTTAACATCAACCATTTCAACTATTTGAAGCACCCATTTGTACAGCAGATATTTGGCTTGCTGGAACTAGTAATCCACTGTAACCAAAATGCTCTGAGATTTTGGAGGAAATAAGTAAACATACTAGATCTGATGACCCAGCACCAATGGCATGACACAAAAAAGGGCTCACAATGCCAGAGGCAGATGTTGGTGATATGGCAGTAGAGGCTGAGGCTGAACCTTCCCACCAATAACATCCAGTTACATTCTATTGCCATGTGACAGATGGCAGCTGAGGGGCAGTCTGACAGAATGGTGTCTGACATGGAAGTATTTATGAAGCAAAGGTGTAGGACTGAGTTGCTCCATGTGGAAAAAATGGCACCCACTGGTGCTCATCAATGCTTGCTGAACTTTCATGGAGACCAAACAGCGGATGTTTTGACACATGAGAATTCACTTGTGTAAAAGTTACTCAACTACTGAGATTGTTAACTTGTGTCAAAACCTTACAGCCACAAAAAATAAAATGAAATAAGCAACAAAAAACGAGTTTGGCTGATACTGAAAGTAGGATCTCAACTTTCTTGTCTTTCTTTCTTAAGAAAGCTTAATGTTTTTTCTTCTGCTTACACATTTACCAGCCTTGGGATTTTTTTTTCTTCCTCACTGCTACCAAAGCACACTGGCTGAAAACTCTTCAGCTGCTACACAAATAAATAGTACACAAATAGCAATGGAAACTGTGGACACTGAACAGGCAGCAAACCTATTCTCCAGAATTGCTTCTGCCATGGCTGAAAGATTTATTCCACAAGTCATAAGAAAGAATATTTAAAAAAAAAAAAAAAATCTACTCCAACATGTTACCATTATAGCTTTAGTAACCTGATGCTAAGTATTAAGTACAGAATTAAGATTAAGACCTTGAAACAAGTCCACAGGAAAGACAAGACGGTCATAACTGCCTTCGATTCCTATGGGAAGCTTTATTCTAACCCAGGTAAGATTGCAAACATAAACCTTGATTAAAAAGATTTTCGGCAAAAGCATCTACAAGCTTTCTTTTTCGAAGGAAAACTTGCTTCTCTTGAGGAAAAGGAGAAAAATGAAAATAAACACACCAGACATTTGTGACAGGCAAAGCTAGAAAAGGCATTTCTCCATGAAGTAGGCATCATGAAAATACAGTCAGAATTCCCAAAACAATCAGGCAAAGCCTGCTGTCAGCTTTGGCCTAAATTGCTCTTGCTGAGAGGAAGATCTAGCCTTGTCATGTCTAAATGAATATATCAGGGAAGCCCAGCCCAACACCTTGCATTCCTTGTCCATTTGCTTGACAAGCCACCATTCATTTCTACCCAAATACATACACAAAATGCAACGACTTCCTTTCTTTGCACTTTTTACCCTCTTTGTGCCAGCTCACGGGATCCTAGCCAAAAATTAGTTACAAAGATTACAAACACTCCAGCAGTTGTGTAGCAGCTGTACCAAAGAATTCCTCACAAGAAAGACAGGCAGGGCTCAGTTTCTACTACAGAATCCACAGTCATACTTAAATCTTCCACAGCCACAGTTTAACCTCTCCCTGACACCCTCCAACAAGAGGCTCTTCTGTTGGAGAATAAAGTTCTATGCCAATGTACCTTTCATAGTTCAGCTCTCCTGAATGGCATAGATGGTCTGCAATAAACCAGAACACCTTATCCTACCATAATATCCCAGCTGTCTCTTTCTTATGCTCATCTCTTAAAAATGCACTGGAGGATAAAGCAGGAAAAAAAATAAAGCAGTAGCCAGCCTCCAAACTGATAGAATATTGCATCTTGCCATTGCCTGATCAAGTTCATATTCTACTGCCATTCAACAGCCTCTCAAGCAAGACAGATGCATGAGTTGCCAATTAATTACTTCAAAAGCTAAAAGCATCATGTGAAATCTTAGTCCTAAAAACATATCTGGTCTACTAGCAGAGGTTTCTCAGCAAAACCCTATGAAAAAGGTCACAGGTTACACTTCATATTACCCAGAAGTGACAGCAAGAAAGCATTCAAGACAATCCTTAAACTGAAGTGTAACAGAAAAACATATCAGTTCTCCTGGTATGTTAAGGAAATAAGATAGCAGAATACTCAGGGTTAGAGTTTGACAACTTTTCACAGCAATCTTCCTTTCAATTGCCAGAGGTACTTGAACATGGGTCATCTTCCTGAGCGTGGCACACACTTCCAGAAACACTGCCTTTGCTGTCATGAAGACTTCATTCCACTATTATTTTTTCCTGCATCTGCACCAACCACCATTCCTGTCACATTGCAAGGCAATGAACCAACCAGAAATTTTCAAGTAACCACTCACAATCAGTTTTCTTCACATACTCCTTATTGAGATACACAGTCCACAGCAAGTTAGAAATACAGTGCTCCAAATTCCATGTGCAAAACCCACACAGTGTATACAGTTATACAGAAGTGCAGTTCAGATATCAAACAACAGGCCCATACAGGACATTTTGGAATAAGTACTGCACTAAATGCTCTACCTAAACTGTCTGCAGGGTGAGCGTAAGCTCATACCTAATTCAAATGGATTTTTTTTTTTTTTTCAGTTTTAAAAGATCACTGGTTATTAGTGGCTTTCTGTGTTAGACCAAGAACAAGACAGTTGGAAAAAAAACTTTGCACTAGTTCTTAAAATGCAGATGTATGTGGCAAAAAAAGCCTCAAGACTTTTACATCAGGCAGCTTCCTATTACTTAAGTATTCACTTGAGAATCTATTTAAACCTTTATTAAAGCAAAAAAAAAAAAAAAAAAAAAAAAAGTAACATTCTCAGATCATTCTCCATTAGCGAATCAAGCTTCTTCCAGCAGGACACTGAAAGTTAAAGCACTTTTCACAATACTATACAAATTAATCCACCCTCATAGAAAAAGCGTAGAAATTGCTTTTACATCAAAGCCTAGTAATTTATCATTCTGTACACCTACACCAAGGAAAAACAAAACAATCTAGATAATACAGTATACAGCAGAACAATTTAAGTTAAAAGTAGACCAACACTTAATGTTCTGAAGAACAGGAGGAGGAAGATAGAACTGATTATTTTAGCAAAACAGTCAGAAAAACATGAGATTACAAACTAGGATGTAATGAGATTACAAACTAGGATTTTTAAGATGCCTAAGAAGAAAAGAATAAAATGCACGGAGGTCATAAATTTCATTTTGAAATGCAGTTTTTATCATTGAAATTGAAAAACAAAAACCAAAAGGGAAAAGTCTTACATAACACTTCCACAGCACTTGGCAAGAAGAGTCAGAGTCAAATATTTGCATAAGGGTGGTAAGACTTGGGGACAGTTTGCCCAGAGAGGCTGCGGATGTCCTCTTCCTGGAAGCATTCAAGGCCAGGCTGGATGAGGCTTTGAGCAACCTGGTCTAGAGGGAGGTGTCCCTTCCTATAGCAGGGGGTTGGATCATCTTCAAGGGCCCTTCCAACCCAAAACAGTCGTTGATTCAAAAATTAGGTTTTGTCAGTGCAGCCCCAGCAGCACTACACACCTGCTCTTAGAAACAAAAGAAAACAAAACCAGCATACTGAGAAGCTCAGATGGGGGATACTTGATAGAGAATCCAGAGACACTGCAAAATTAAAATGCAATCAACACTGCTTCTGCAGAAGGCAGGCCTTGCCAATGGCCATTTCCTACGAAGTTACACATCTGATATTCAACACCTGTGTTCATAAGATTTCTGAAAAAGCACGTTCAATACATTGCATAAAAATTGATGTGGATTCAAACTGGTTAACAGAAAGATCTCAGCTGCTAACTGCAAATGGGAAATAATCTCACAGGGATGTTTCTAGAACAAGTCCCACACAGACCTCTTCTCATCTCAAGGTTATATTGTATTATTCTAAGCAACATGAGAGATATAAATACACTACTGGCAGACCTCATGAATGGCAAATCAATCAAATGTTAAATTCAAAAGTGTTCAGATTAAATTCTAAAGACTAAGCTATAAATATATAAACTACAGATATAGCAAATATAACTCAGCTTGAGATGGCTTAAAAGTCAAGAATTTAGGTGCTAGGAATACTTTACAAGCTACAGCACGAGGACTTTAAAACACA